TGAATGCTACACAGGTACTTAAAAAGAATGTGTGTTCTACAAATGTCAGTCAGATCAAGTTGGTTGATGGAGTTGTTAAAGTCTCATACCTGTACTGGTTTTCTTTCTACTTATTGTATCAATTACTGAGATTAGAGTTTGTTTGTTTTTTTTTGAGACAGAATTTCACCGTGTCACCATTGGTTGAGTGCCATGGTGTCATAGCTCATAGCAACCTCAAACTCTTGGGCTTAAGTGATTCTATTGCCTCAGCCTCCCAAGTAGCTGGACTACAGGTACCTGCCAGAATGTCTGGCTATTTTTTTTGTTACAGTTGTCATTGTTTAGCAGGCCTAGGCTGGGTTCAAACCTGCCAGCTCTGCTGTATGTGGCCAGTGCCCTAACCACTGAGCTATGGGGGCCAAGCCTGAGAGAAGAGTCTTAAAATCTACAACTGGGTCTGTCAGTTTTTTCTTCATGTATTTTGAACCTCTATTATCAGGTGCATACTCATTTAGGATTAATGTCTTCTTCAAGTATTCACCCTGCTATCATTATGACATGAGCCTCTCTCGTTGTATTTCTTAGTACAAAGTCTACTTTGTCACATGATATAGTTACTCCAGCTTTCATACGCTTGTTGTTTACACATTACACCTTTCTTATCTTTTGACTTCAACCTATCATAGTCCATTTTGTGTTGCTATAAGAGGATACTGGAGCCTGGGTAACTTACAAAGAAGAGATTTATCTGGCTTATGATTCTTGAAGCTGGAAGTCTCAAGAGCATGACACCAGCATCTACACAGCTCCTGGCCAGTGCCTTAGAACTTGGCAGAGAATGGAAGGGGAATAGGGCATGTCAAGCAGGGCCACCCCTGAGAGACAGCCTCACTGTATAACAACCCCTGTCAAATGATCTAGTCCCACAAAAGAACTCACTCTCTCCCACAAGAATGCATTTGTCCTGGCTTGGCACCTGTCGCTCAAGCGGCTAAGGCGCCAGCCACATACACCCCAGCTGGTAGGTTCAAATCCGGCCCGGACCGTCAAACAATGACAACTACAACCAAAACATAGCTGGGTACCTGTAATCCCAGCTACTTAGGAGGCTGAGGCAAGA